AATTGCGTGAACTACTTTTAATTACGGAATTACATGGAATTCCTACCGATTCCGGAATTATACGGAATTCCTACCAATTTCGGAATTATACGGAATTCCTACCGATTCCGGAATTGGACGGAATTCCCACCAATTCCGGAATTGGACGGAACTCGATCAATTTTTGAGTGGGTATCGGATATTATGTGTCGATCGAGTTCCCGGAATTGAACGGAATCGATTCCGGAGCGGAACTGGTTCCTGAAATGTTCAACATTGCGGAATAGGATGACTGCTCGAAAATCACAGCAAGTTTTAACAATTGAGAAGTGATGAATATTCATTACCATCCATTCAGTGTTGTATCAAAGACGAACAGCACACAACAAGATTCTTATTGAATACGATGTATCTTTACTATAAAGGATGACATGTAAAGAAATTCAAAAATATCTTATTTAATGGTGCTATTAATATACTACAAAATGGCGTATTTATTTGCTGTAGATCTCAGTACTATCCAAAGAAGACATTTTTCACTAATATCGACAGTATAAAAAATGAAAATAGTTTCACACAAAATTTCTATCAATCGATGATTTCATGCTCAATGAGCATTCTCTTCTAGTTTTTAATTATATCGATATGGTTTTCTTTTATAGTTTACAATACCAAACCATGTAAACTATTAGAAGATTTCTGATGAACAGAAAATTGATTCATTGTACTGGATGTGTATGCCTGTTTTCGAACCCAATGTACATACTTTTCACTAGCCAATTGAACTCTAAGCAAAAATTCTATAGTTATTTTCGAGTGATAACTAAAATTAATCATAAGAAAATCACACTCCTTTTCGTATTTAATTATATATGAGCTATAGAAAACCTTTTATAAGCCACTGCACGAGAAAAACAACCGATTTCCCAATATAGGTGCTCAATGATGATCACAGATCAAGATGAGAGCTCACCCATCTTGTACAGAATTTGTTTCAGATATAAATTCAAATTTTTAGCCCTAAAGCTTAAAATTTGACTGAGATACTAATTACTGACTGAAAACACCAAAAATGCGATTTCTTCAAATTCTGAGTTTTTTAGGTGGTTAACGACTAGCAGTATTTTTGAAATGTCTCTTCACTAGAATGTGATAAAGGCCTGAAACTTTACCAAAAGTATATTCGGACATGGGGAACATAATCATATTATCAAATAAGAGATATGTCATGAAAAAGTATTATTGCTATTTCTAAGCAGTGTTATCCTATGTACCCAAATGGAGCATATCTTGCGGCTCGGCTTTCTCCCAATGAGCTTAATAAATTTCGCTCAAATTGTTTTTGCGAAGACTGCTATCCTGGTGCTGCATGCATATATATTTAGAAACTTGTGAATTTAAAATTTGTCCTGGAAAAGATAATTAACAAGATAATGATATTTTCTCTCATATCTATAATAAATTTTTTCGTATTCTATATAAGCAAATAGAATTGAAATATGTTTGAGCACTAACTAAACTTGGTAATTCTAGTATTTCGATTGATTTGACTCACTTTGATAAGAAGAAGTCGTTTTTTTGTTACCTTGACCTCTTATTTCATTAATAATAAATAGAATCATTATTTGTATAAAAAAATTCTTTGATAACATCTTCTGTTTTTTGTTTAATGCCTTTTCAATATCTATATAATAATAATTTGAATAAAACATAAGTTTTTCAAAATCTTATAATTACTTACTATACTTCCTAGAAAATAATAAAATGAAGTCATATTAAGAAACTTTGTTTTATTTTTCTCATCGATCTATTCTACTTAAACTAATACTGATTGGTCGTTTTCTCGGTACTTTTTTAAAGATATAATATTTCGAGCTTATATTACCCTGTGTATATAATCGGCAAGTGATCGAAAAAACTTATTTCAAAATCAAATATTGCCTTCTCAAATATAAGAAAACATTCTTTTTTTGAATATTATCATGAACATATCTTGAATTCTCCTTTCGCTTTTGTTTTTCTTGATATATGAAACCATACGATTACTTCCTCTCTATTATAAATATAAATGTATTTTTCTCTCTTATAGTTAGGCTTAAATGGAGCAAGATACAATTCGTTCAATCCATTTCTCCTTTTTATTGAAGTAAAACGTTCGATGTTTATTTGTCATATAGTTTCCAACACTTATCAATAATCAATAATTTAATCTATAAAGCATTTTATGAGGAAAACAGTGATTACTAGATTAATTCAATTAAATCTTTAACTTTATCATAATCAGATATATTCTGTATCAATCTGTTTATTTGTTTTAATTTCAAATTTTATGATTGAAATTGAAAGAAAACTAATTACAGCAGACAAACAAAGTATTAGTTACGAGTATCAATATACCACTGACGTCAATGTTAATCATATGTTAGATTCTGTTACAATTACCATTAAAATAGTTGTTTTGAACTTTCATATAGTGTTACTATTTAATTTTCTTTCGACAGATTTGCATCACATTGTCGTTCTTTCACTTTTTAATTATTGCTATACTTAATCATAGTTTAGTATATCGAGTTAGAAAACGAAAGTATTATTAATTATTCGACTGTGGCTTGATAAAAGCTAGTTATTAAAAGCATACTAGCCTAGAAACTTTCTCATCGACTCGAAGTTTCATTGAGATTTATTATATCGTTGTATATAGAAAGTGAAACGTTTCTTTTTTTTACATTTGAATAAAATTTTTATTTCGAAAATTATCTGTAATTTGACTTCAAGATTTGCTTAATGAAGGCATTCATTTGTGAGTTATCTTTGATTTGTAAATTTCAACTTATTTATTTGTTTAAAATACAAAAAAATTGATATATTTTATCTATTTTGTTTATTGTTCCATTCAATTGAATATTTCTTGATACTAAACAAGTGCATTAAATGGATTTAATATCCAATGATTTTCATTTCGAAAATAAAGCATTCGACTTGGATTTCCTCGACGTTGTAAAGCTGTAAATGCACGAATACTTTGTGTATCTGGAACACAATAATCTCGTTCACCTTGAATAACAAGCATTTGTTGTGAACAGTTAGCAACATGATTAATTAGATCAAATTTTTCATAAGCTTCAGGATTTTTATATTGAGTAAATCCACCTGAATCATGTTCAGTAGACCATAATTCTTTAGTAGCATAAGCCATTTCTCGTAAATCAAATGTTCTCTCATGATTTACATGAGCTCGAAAACGATGATTCATTTGTGGATGTTCATGAATATATGGATATTATTCTAAAGCAGCAGTAAGAGTGTGAGTGTGGATACCAGGTGAATACAGCATCCATACTCACACCCATTGTACATATACTCTGCAGCATCAGATAATGTTGTATGATTTTTTTTATAAAATGAGAAACGATCATTACTAGTTGATATTTCTTTATATTTGACAAATATTATTAGACTATAAATACGACATTTATCATGTTTTTCAGTTTATTGAATAAATCAAAACAAGAATACATCTACTTACATAACGAAAGAAAATAAAGACATAAACCTTTCGAATGTACCAATGGATCTATCGTAAATATTTTTTTCACTTTAGCACAATTGCGTCGTGTTTCTTTTCTTGTAAAGTCTTTTGTTATAGCTTTTAATTCATTAACACTTGACACTCGAAATTCCGTCAGACAAGGTACAAATGTCTTTGTTTCATTTAGAAATTGTTCAACATAATCTATATGTGCAAAGTTAACATCAAGTATAGTCAGATGGGGGGTATTCAATAATTGAATGTAATTGACAATTGTCAGATGAAAATGTCATACGATCATTCAGTTTTTGTGATTTACTATTCCAAATATATAAATGCTTCAATAACGGAAACGATCGGGCAATTCGCATGAAGAATTCATGTTCGAATGGCATAATATCTTGTACAAGTAAATAGGTAACATAACTGAACACAATATTTGGTAAGTTATTGCCAATATCTCGACGATAATCAAATTCAAAAGGAAGTGAGAAAGTTGAGCAGGCAACTCTAATACCATAAACATAATTGACAACATCAGCACAACCATTGATCATACTAGTGACATTTTGTATTCCAATATTTGTTGAATATCTTCACTAGATAACTTGTAGGGTAAAGCATCCGCATCGACATAAGTACAAATATAGAAAGTGAATGAACGAAGTTGTGGCATATGGTCCAAAATATCATGTTGAACATAAGTACCATCAATGATACTATTTCGACCTTCTATAGAAATATTTAGAGTTAATTTTTCCAGATTTGACATACGACGAAGAAATAATACAACTTTGTCGTATTGTTGAAATGGATAGAACAATTTTAATGAGAAACATTTCAGATTCAATAATTTATCCTACAAAAAGAAAGAAATATTTTTTTGATAATCTATAAGATCAAGTCATAGACATCATTATTTTACACATGGTATATGATCTATATTCTTTGTGTGAATGACAAATCTATTAGTTTGATTTTCTCATTTTACAGCACAACAAACGAGTGTTAAAAGAACAATTAAAGTTTCAAACAAACTTCCAATCATATCTCAATTATTTAAAAAAATTTCGTTCCATTCTATGCTGATGATCATTCCCATATGATTATATGTAATCAACCATGAAACAGAGTAATCTAGTTTTCAAAATGAAACTTAGCCAGTCGATCTCTTATCTGAATTTTTTGATATCAATCGTTAACTGCATTGAAATAGTAATAATCTTGATGGTATAAACGAAATTATTTGTAAAAACTTATCATATTGTGAACAATTTCTTCAAATGTGTCGACATGATAGACATCAACACACACTGTTGACAATTTTCTAAGTCGACCATCAAGTAAAAACAATCATCAAAAGTTTCGACATTGATATTTAAATGAGTAAGAATTGGAGATGAAAAACTAGTCGATGGCAAATAACAAAGTGATAAAATTGGATATGAAACAGCAAATGGTTCCATGATACTTAATTTTTTTAAATTTTTAAAAAAAGTCAAAGTGTGAACATATACATTTTCGGTAAACCTTCCACTTTATATTTATCATTATTGATAAGAATAGGATTTGTAATTCGTTCTTGCAAAATAGATCGAAGTGATGATTGATCTAAAGGAGAAAAGCAATGTAGTGAAACATACTATAGTCTTTTCTTAACTAATCAAATTCATATCAAATACTTACTTGTAAAATAATTTGAAAATGAGAAATTGTAAGTTTAGTTAAATTCGAATAGTCAGTGGCAAGAAGAATACGGTCCATAAAAACTGCATCAAAAGCAAAACATTTCACATTATGATGAACTCTTGGTAATATGTCGATGCAGAATCAATCGATTATAGAAATATTATCAATGGAGACAAATTTCAGAATGTCTGTAGAAGTGATTTCTTGTGCAAGAATGTTAAGTCGTCCAGCATTGATGTACAATAAAGAATAAAGTACATCCATATTGCTCAAGTACTTCAAAATAATAAGTAATATTTCATCAGGTAAATCCAGAAGATGAACATTTGATCGGTTCATATTTTACTATGACTATGATGTTTTTGAGTAAGATAAATCTCTATATACATACATATTTGTTCATTATTTGCATCTCATACTCTGACCTCAAACAGAATGAAAATTTAGCAACGTGATTGGTCTATTTCAAGTTAAGTTATCTTCTTTCAGGCGATTTATTTGTTAATTAGGTCTGTTGGAACGTTTTATGCGGATGCCAAATTGAATAGGTCAACTTTTTCACAAACGTAAAACAATGATGTATCTTTCTACCATAGTCATTCAGTGTTGTGTGTAGTTTCGAAAGAAATTCAAGGATGACATTAAGAAGAAGAAGGGATCTATTTATCTTATAAGAGAGTCAGTTGAACTTCATTCGAGATTTTTCCAATTTAAAATCAAATCTGAAATTTTTGTAAAAAGACAGTTCTTTGAGGACCTCATGTCTTTTAATTACAAGAAAATTTAACTACATGTTATAATAATAGACGCGCATCCACACACTCACACCCAGCAGTAGCTTCGCGGCTGCTCGCATGCCTCTCGACCACCTGTTACGTTTTTTTTTGGCTGATTATCTTTTATTTCGCAATAAAATTAGTAAGATTTAAAAAAAACGTAGCGCCATCGTAGTCAACGTGGTCTTAATGTAGTTCACAAACACACAAATTATCACGAAGAAGAGCAAGACGAAGATAGCAGGTAGCACCATCCCGTTTCGTAAAATTCTTGTAAATACCATCATCGATAAAACGCTTCCATTCATCGTCTGTCCGATTCTTGCAATTGGTGATCCATGTCCATGTGTCTTGATCTCCGGTGAAATGCCAATCACGACACATATGACATTTTGCACAAGGACGACCTTCACAACGCAGTTTCTTACAGTTATTGAGATCATCAAATTCTTGATGTTCTAAATTAAAATGCTTAGTAGTTAGAAAATCATGTAGAGTACACACGATGAAGTTTAAATTTTTTTTAAAGAGGACGATGTTAAACTCGAAATAAGTCTATGAAGATTGGGAGTATATTTTATCTAATCATCTTTAGTACGAACCACTTCATTTTTTGATTAATTTGTAGAAGGGAGTCATTGAAGAAAGTATTCAACATGACAGATTTACTTACTACTTGATTGATCCTCTTGTACGTCTGCTTCGTTATCACATTCTGTACCTTCAACTTTCGCTTCATTAGTATGTTCTGCACCTTCAACTTTCGCTTCAATTCCATGTTCTGCACCTTCAACTTTCGCTTCAATTCCATGTTCGGTATCGTCAATCTTCGCTTCACTTTTATGTTCTGTATCGTCCACCTTCGCTTCATTTCCATGTTCTTTATCGTCAGCTTTTGCTTCATTTTCGTGTTCGGTATCTTCAATTTTCGCTTCATTGGCATGCTCTGTAACGCCTACTTTCGTTTCATTTTCATCTTCTTTATCGTCAACCTTCGCTTTATTTCCATGTTCAGTCTCGTCAACTTTCGGTTCATTTTCATGCTCTGTAACGCCATATTTCGTTTCATTTTCATGTTCTTTATAGTCAATCTTCGCTTCATCACCATATTCTTGCTCTTGAGCACGGCTTTCTTCACATAAACTTTGTTGATTGTCTGAAATAAATAGAGAAAGAAACAATTACACACGACACACGTTTTATCCACATAGCACTGACGATGAGAAGCAGATATAAAAAAAGACGAAATAGAAACAAATATGACTATGCTAACACTATTCACTGTCTCTATCGCCATTGGATTATTCAGTGTGGTTCGAAACTTTAAAAAATGAAGAGTAAAACTCAATGAAAATCACGAACAACAGATATTGATATAAAAAACAACTAGGATAACTAATGAACCGTCTCTTTATTGATCACAGTGATGCTTAGATCTGGTTAGTAATATGGTTGCAACTACTCATGAGAATAAGAGACGTGTATGATTATGGAAGAAATGTGTGCTTTATTTTAACAGTGCTTGCTATGTCGAAACATGTGCGAGAGTCGTGAAAGTCGCATTACCTTTGAGATACTCTGCACCAATATTTACCAGCACGCTTAATATAAAGGATGTTAACATTGTCAGTTCTAACAAGGATTCGATGAATGTGTCAACCTAATACAGATTTTGAAGGCGTATTGGATCCCTTTGAACACACTCGGTGAGAACAAATCTCCAGATTCTAGCCACTAAGCCGCTCTCAAATCATCGAATTTGTTTGATTTTAATCGTTTTTTCTTCGTTGATCATCAATTATTGAAAGATCTGTTCTCACATTAACCTAATCCTTCCGACTCTAGCGTATATGAAAATTTTGCATTTTATTACTTTGAATCATATAGTGCGTCGTTTGACAAGAATAACATTTAATTTTATACATAACCGTAAGACGATGATATAGAGAAAAAAGATAAAGAAGAAGCGAAGAAAATAACAGAGAGTGTCAAGATATTCTGAATAGGAGGCAGACGCATTGATGTTCTGACACTAAGTGGTTAACGATATGTGGTTATGAAACTATCTCGAGGGTGTGAAAGTGTCAGGATGGCTCAGTTAGAAATTCAATCAATATCCTTATACACATCCACATCTACCCTATTCCATTTTTCGTCTAATCGACTCCACAGTTTTCTACATATTGGGCATTTAATACATACCTTGATTGTCAATGATAACCGTTGCAGGTGGATTTACAGTTTCGCCTGCATATTTTGATGAGTCAAGATTTGAAGAATCAGATTTTGTTGTATCGCTTTTTTTTGGTTCGATTGTTTTTATTAAATTGTCATTATCTTCTGTTGATATGCTGTCGATTGGTAGCTTGAAATAAACGTTGAAAAGGTTACTAATAATCGAACTTATCAAAGTATTCTGCAATTCTTTCATTCAGTTCTGAAATACTTCTAAGAAATAGGGTTGCAAAAGTAATTCTAATCTACATCCGTACCTATAGTGTTCATTAGGAGTATAACAGTGACAACGAGTGATTCTAACTAATAATGCTTCAAGAGAAAACTAATAATTACTCATAAGAGTCCTACTAGTGACTAATGCATAGATAACTATTCATTTATAATTGGTAAACCTTGTGAATGAAAATAGGCGTTGTACAGAACCTTTCTCAATATCATTTTCTAAACCTTGAGGAAGTGAGTGTGGGTATCTGACTTCTCTAAATCCTCACCCACACCAACACTCATACCTTACCGCTTTCATCGAATCGCATATTGGCTCAATTTCGGTGAAGACACCTTGAATCTTGCTCCATTTCTTTGCCCATTCTTCATGCCACACTTTGTTTCCACAAAAAATGTAGATGGCCACTAACTGTTTCGTATCATGAATCAGTGGCATTAGATCCTTGCCTAAAGAACCAGAACAGACAATTACCATTTTCCCATTAGTCGTGTCATTGAGCAACTTGATGCATTCTGCTGTTTCTTTACAAGTTTGCACAGTTTTAAAGACTTTCCGCAATTTAAAAAGTGTATTTTGACAGTCTTTGTCTTGTTCATCAATGTTACCGTCGATCCAGATGAGTAGACAATTTTTGACCACAGATTCAGAGTTCGGTGTCGACATTGTGTCTACTAGTGGTTTGATAAATGAGGTGATATAATTCATCTAAAGTAATTTCAATGAGCCATATTCACAAATCGCTTTTTCGCCACAAGCGTGTGGGTGTGAGTATAGGTGTATCTAGGATGTGGGTGGGCAGATGTTGCTTAGGATTTAAAAAAACTAGAGATAGCTACACCCACCCATCTCCAAGTGGTCGCGTGATTCATAACCCGTATATTCTACATTTCTATTATCTAGAGATAGTTCGCATAACACATCTAGAACTATTTATGAGCAGCATCGATAATTCTTTAAATAATGCTATTGAATAACAATCAAAGGCGATTCAAAAAAATAATTCAACTGAAAACGTGAAAGTGAAAAAGAGGGTAGAACTAACTCTATGAGTTTCCAATTTCTCCGAGAAGCTCTTCAAAAGCAACCTCAACACTGTGTTTCCTACTTTTACAATGGATAGAGCGCTAACACTATGGTATCGGATTGGATAAATAAGATAATCATATCAGTTCTTGATAGCCCTTCAATGAATAATATCGTTGTCCTAATCGTGAGAAAGTTAAGAGTTATTACCAGAAACTCTTAATCCAATGTCTAGCAAACTAATAAGATGTGAAAGATGAGATGTAAGTTATTACCCAGTCGAAGATTTAACAAAATTTGATGTTTACGCATAAAAAGCATGCATTTAACTCATGAAAAATGCTTTCAAATCTGTTCGTATTAAAAAAAAACATTTTTTTGATGCAGTTAAATGCGCACTTGTATACATAAAGCCATCACTTTTTTTTCTTACGTGGCTAAGTAGGCAAAGAATGAAAAAATTTCAAAGTTTTCTTTTCGACTCATTCTTTGCTGTTGTTTAACATAACTGAGTGTCTGACTTAAAAATATGTGATAGCAATTACCACTAAAGACGGCTATTATTCATTTCTATTCTAGAAGAAAATCTATCTTTGGAATTTTTAATGAAGCTGTTTGGGATTCTTTTAGAAACCATCTTAAGGGTATGGGTGTGAATGTAGTGTGAGTTTCGGTGTAGGTTGGAGGAAGCCAGTGTGATGGTGATTATCTACTCCTAGTCTACACAGCTGGAGCCTACCACTTTCCCTCCCCTGCACCCACACCCACACCCTCAAGATGCGAGCTAATTATGTTTCACTGAAGTGAATTTGACGTCTCACTGTGGTCTGTTTGATCAAATGGTCACAGTTAATCGCTTTGATGAATATATGTTTAACGAGATAGAATCCTGTTCATTTCTTCGTTATAAATTAATTATTAAACTAGATGGCAGTCGAGTTTCGCTCGACTACGAAATAACGATTTTATGGCTTTCAGACATTGCTGAACATTCGCGATTGTCGTAGAATTCTTGTGATATTTATATCTCGGTGGTGAGTGGGCGAGGGATGAGTATAATATCTGTATCTACACTCACACCCTCAAGATAAACGATTGATAAAAAATACATACTCGTGAATGACATGTTATTCTTCACTACGTTTACTATTTGTATAAAAATAGAACATTGTAAGACTTTCAACAACTTTATGTAATTTATTGTTTTAGAAATAAGAGTTTGTACTTTAGGAAAAAGAAAAGGGCTTTGATTAACAAAGGTTTAATTAAAAATACAAGATATGAAATATAGTAATTCTAATAAATTATAGAAGTCTCATTTATATCACTTATTATCTTCAATTATTATTTTGTAATATATTATAAAGACGTTACAAATTGATTTAGTTTTGAAAATTAATTTTTTGATTGCTAAACTATTTCCAGATAGAGAATTTTTAAATTGTAATTCTAACTAAATTATTAAAAGAAAAATATAAAGTATTATTATTGTTCAATAAGAAATATTCATCTTGTATAGCATTGTCTGTTTTATATCAAGACAAAATATTATCTATATGAAATAGTTTGAAGGCATTAACTATGAATTGATAATTAAATTTTGTAAATAATCAATAATGAGAGAAAATTTTAGCATGTTTACTGTCTCTAGCATATAATCTTTATATGTAAAAATGGAATAAGATAATTTTTTTTATAATGTCGCCATTTCTTATGATGGATTTCGATAATTTTAAAAACATATAAAATATAAATGACTTTGATCAACTAAAGTAATAAAGTGCATGTCTACTTAACTTCAGAAGAATTTTATAAAAATAGTTCCTTAATTATGTCGCTTAGTTCTATTTTTTCTCTTAATTCTATTGCTAGAAATAGAAAATAAAGTTTATTAATTATGATAAATATATCCGTAATCACTTTTGAATTTCATTGCTAATGTTAAATCGAAGAAAAGTTGAAACAATGCATTAGATGAATTTATCTTATCTATTTAGATTATAAAAGAAAATAGCTAATTCTATGGACTCCATCGATTGTTTAAACTATTAGAATCTGAAAAGTCATTGAAACTACAGTTCAGTCAGTTAATTCAATTGACATCGATTAACTTCATATGTGCAAGACTTATCTCGTAAGTAAGACTCATCTCATCTTGATTTTGATTCATTCTTGAGGATGTAGATAGATCTTGGTATTAGATTTTGGGTGTGGTTGAGAATATGTGATGGGCATAATACTCACACCCACACCCTCTAAGTAATATTAGGAAACGCAGATCTCTTCAAAATATACTAAGTATTAAAAATCTCATAGTCAATATTTGACCTCTTTCCAAATTATTATCACAATTCACGATTGTAATATTACTCATACAGTATAGAATTTCAAAATCATCAATTCTCGAGCATTTTTATACTTGTTAGTTGATTTAAATCTAGCTGCAATAAAAAATAGTATGATCACAATAGAAACCTATTTCATAAATTTATACTTCCAGAACAAATTAGAAGTTTCATAAGCGATTCAATTAAATTGTCAGTTGAAATGACGCACAAGAAAAAAGCTTAGTAATATAAGAAATGTCAAAAGTCTTATCCAGATAAAACCTGTTCTGAACTGATACATACATATATCAAAGTTTTATTTATATGACCTATAAGTTCAGAAGATATTATTCGCAACTATAATCTTTAATCAATGAAATAAAAATTAAATTCTTGTATCTCATTTAAAGTCGTTAACTTTGAACAGCATCTTCCAAAGTATGATAATACATTTATTTCAGACGTATTCCTATTATTAACAGCATTTCTAAAACAGAATCAACGTATCTTATCTGCCATGGACAGTATATTTTAATTGTAAAATATAATTCTTTTCTACTATCTACTATAACGAAAAACGTTTTTGACATTTACATTAGAGAAAGAACTAAATAATATAAAAACACAACATTACTATTATATTATATTTTATTTCATTATCCATATTCATTTTTATCTTAAACATGGTAATAGCATATATTATTCGTTGTTGGATTTATCTTATCTTTGTCATTCCATCACTTTTATGTTCTATTTTTAATCTTTATCATTTTATTGTTGATCGAACACTTCGTAAAGCTCTTTACAATCATATCATTATTCTTATTCTTTCTCTTTGTCTCTTATATAATATAACTGATATTATATGGTTAATTCATTTTTATCGTACTATTTCTCCCGTATCATATACATACATATTTTGTATTTTATGGACATATATAGATTTTGCTCCATTTGTATCAATTACACTTCTTGTTGCTTGGGCATCAATTGAACGACATATTCTTATTTTTCATCAAAATTTAGTTTCAACACGAACAAAACGTTTATTTGCTCATTATTTACCTATGATTATATTTACTCTTTATCCACTTATTTATTATATGGTTATGTTTTTTATTATACCTTGTTCAATTCCACTTAATTATGCAAAAACTCGATGTGGTCTTACTAATTGCGCATATCCAAGTGCAGCAATTACCATGTATGATGGAATTGCACATAATATATTACCTGTATTTAGTATTGTTGTGTTTAGTATAGCTCTTATTGGACGTGTCTGGTACAATAAATATCGAATGGGTCAAAGATTTCAATGGAAAAAGTATCGAAAAATGACAATTCAATTGTTATCAATATCTTCGGTTTATTTTTTCTTACTTTTTCCACCAATGATTTTAAATACTGCCTATGCAGCTGGCGTATCATATAGTGTTGCAGCTGATTTTTATTCTGGTGCAATGTATATTAGTTATCTCATCACATTGCTTATTCCATTTGTTTGTACCGCTGCATTACCTGAACTTCGAGCAAAATTTCCAAAGATTCCTGGATTTTACAGACGGAAAAGTACTGCTGTTGTTCCTGTAACATTTACATTGAATCGTTTAGCCGCTAGTCGAACAGCTGTAGTAACACATGCTGCTCACTAATTATTACTTATTCGACTATATCTCTTATTCACTATTTATTGTCTTAACAATAAGTCAAATAATTAGCTTTTGTTTTTGTTGTCAATTATTTCTTTTTTTCTGTTGTCTACTCTGTGATTTTGTTTATTTATCAATAAATATAATTGAATATATATATATCATAAGTCGCACCAAAAATAAAATGAGCGATTAAGTTATTCAGTTTCATAGTTGATATATATCATTCCAAAATCTTGAGGATATGAGTGTGGATGAGGGTGGGGGTACAAGATGGCTATAATACCCACTCCACAATTCAAAAGAATTTGAAAACGGTCGGTCTAATATTTATTTATGTAGCTTAAAATTAAACTCATTAGAAGATCTACTCTTTCTCAGTTGAAAACAATATACGCTTCATAAAAAAATAATTATATTTATCATCAGCACCACCGTTTTGATTAATTGTATTTATGGATCTAACGTGACTCCAACACCGCATACAATTCCATATTCGATCTCTTTTGTTTGGTCATTTTTACAATATGTAATATTAAGAAGCCACTTGTTCTCCATCGCTTTCAGTAATAATTGAAACATGTGCTCGTCCCATTGTGGAGTCGGTAAAATGTCTTGACGAAATCGATTATAATCGCAGTATTCATAACAACCGTATGGAAAAAATTTCGATGAATCATCACCAGATGTACGAAAATACACCTGCAACGGAATCCTTCTAACTGAGACAAAATGTGTTATGTTGACACCTTGTATTCCCACATTCGATGGTGATTGAGTATACACATTTATTAGTAGCATTGTAAACAAAAATAATTTAAGCATTATTTTTTCACGTTGATTTCGAAGAAAGTCTAAATATACAACGACATGTAAATGTAGTAAATTGTTAAAGATATATACATAGACATAAACTGCATTAAGAGAACAATGACTTACAACTAATTGTAAACCATTTCACGGAAAGATTATATGATGAAAATATGTTCACCAAAATAAACATTTGAAAAATTAAAGTTCATTAGAATGTAGAAGAAAGACAGCTAAAATTTCAATCGATTTATACTAATGTCAAGTAATTCTGAATCAGTTTGTGAGCAATTAGCTTAGTATCGAGGGACAAAAAGTGGGTATTGAAGCTGTGCGATTCAGATCAATCAATGAAAGTTGCAGGTCTCTTCATTATTTTGTCTATTTATCAGAAAAATACACGACAAGATATAAAGCTGTATTGTAGATAAATGAGGAAATCATCTGGCTAAAATGTTCTCAACATATGAATTAGACTTGTCTTATAGAAGAGAAACAAAAAATAATAGAAACTCGATCGAAAAAAAGTAAAAGATAAAATAGAAAAGGAGATTAAAAGGATAAAGAAGAAAACAATTATTGCTACTTACTTATATTTCACTGTCTCATATTGCTGATCTCGTGCTTTAGATTGTAATGTAAGAATATATACTAAATTGTTCTTGATAAAATATCGCCCGATTTTAATTGTTATTAAAAAATGTCCTGAGAGCGTGGATATGAGTGTGGATGAATACAAGATAATGTCACAACCATACCCATACCCTTTAAGTAGAACAGAAAAAATATCATATATATATTAAATATGTATCTTGTATTTATAGTGTTGAAATCAATAAGAAAATGAAAAACTATTTCTCTATTTTTCTACAGATAAAAGGAATCTTTGTTCGAAATTTTCTAGAGATCTACATATCTGGAGTTATGAATGAACCCTTGAAAGTTTTGAAATGAAATTTAGATGAGTTTTAGTAGACAAATATGATAAACTACAATTAAATGTATTTCTGATTTAGACCTATAGATTTATTTGTTTTGAAAATGATTATTCAACAATTATATTTTTATGTCTGTGTTCACTGTTCTTTGACATAGTTTTTCTCGAATTCGATGAAATTGATGTCGAATAAGTCGATAAAACATTTCAGCAACTTCCATCAATGAAAGAAAACTGATACCAATCCAAAGACCTGTTTGACCACCAATATTTGATATAACATCAACAGGACTTAATGCCGCTTGTTGTATATTATTTTCGACTCGAGTTGTTTCACATATAACATTAATACCAACATAATTTGTTTGAATCTCACTTGACCATGTTGTCGACCAGTTAAGAGGTAAAGGAATTGAAGATGATTCTACAAATGTTTTTATATCGTCTATATTCCATTGCATTGGTGCTAAACTAGAAGATATTTTAAGTATAAATTCAATGATAGAACAATCTAGACCACAAGTTGCACCATATTTGTAAGAAATAGCTTTTGAATTCTGAAATTTATCTGCTGCATTATAATAACAACGATCAGATACATTACAAAGAGGTGCATGAATGACAGTTGTAGTGTCAAGAGGAAGCACATAACGAGCTGCCCATTGGGATGGATCGACACAACCACATACTTCATATCTAGAGAGAATATGAATATATTAAATAGATTATTATTATGTTCATTATACACACGTATAAGTCTGAAGAGCGACTCTGAAACATATTTCGATTGTATAGTCATAATCTGCACCTGAAAATTGATCGTACATAGCGCGCATTCCAGGAGTAACTGTATCACTACATGTTGTATAAGGTGATGGTAAGAAAGTGGTTCTCTTTTTACTATAACCTAATTTATGTTTTCGTCCTGGTATCAGTTGAGCACCAAATTTTTCAATAATAGGTAATTTTTGGTTGTCATGAACCATTGTTACTATACTTACAGCTACATATCAATATTAAATAAGACATAGAAGAGAGAATAACGATTAAATCAATATTCTTACCATCAGATAGATGTGGAACATACATATGACTATGTATATAAAGATCTAATTGTAGACTACCACTAAATCCATTTTCGTTGTTATAATGTAATTGACCATTATTAATATGTGGTGCTTCTGCATTGAATGTGTGACATAGACCATATACTGGAGATATAAATTCAACAAAATCCGCTGCTGTACAGTTGACATCATTATAAATACATCTGATAAGCATTGATTCAAGTGGATAATAGAACTTCTTTAAAGATTCATTTTGATTCAAAAGATATTGAGCAAAATCAGAAACGTATAATGCTTGTTGTTTAGAAAATGTATTTGTATTAGTTGTATTAGTTAAATTAAGTGCATTTGTATAGTTTAAAAAGGGTTCAATTAGCGTATCATAACGAAATGGAGAATAATTACAAATAGTTACTGCTGGGAAAGGTTGTGGCCATTCATCAACAGCATTTATTGAAGTCTCAGTAGGATAACTATAATAAGCAAGAAGTGCTGTAACAATGAAATAGCACATAATACCGGTAAAAGCAATAAACGAAACAAACCAAAAGATACGATTATGAGGACTTTGACTACGAGCAATACCGGGAATACCATGAGCCGATGTGTTTAAACTAAATTCTCTAATAATATCACGTCGCTGACTTAACTTTGATTGTGGCTTTAAGGCTTCAGCATCTACTGGAAATACAGTAGCTATATGTCGAATCGTATGATCTGTCATTGAGAGTTTATTTAGATTGAATGCTAGATTCTAATCAATGCGATTATTGCTCTTATAAAAAACTTGTAAGTGATTTAATATGGATTTTTGAATGTTGTTTATCGTCGTATTTATATATTTGATTTGTTTAAAAAGAAATCCCTTAAGAGTGATATGCACCACTTTTTTTGAATCAATAATATAAGTGTATGTAGGTTTCTATATCATGAAGGATGCTGATTCATAATATTGACACCATTAGTGTTAGTAAAAGTAGGTACGTTTTTGAGGATATGAAACAAATATAAAGAAAAAAAATATGATTGAGTTGATCTGAAAATAAAACGACCTGATCATCAAGAGAATGAAAAAAGTTTAAAATCGAAATGATTATTGTTGTGAAAATTAATACAAAAATCATTAAAGCGCAACTTAAAAAATAAATCAGTGACAAAATGATAATTTATTCATTACTAATCTTTTTCTTTTCTGAGTACATCTGGTGTATCGTTTTGAGTAGAGGTACACAAAAAACAGCAAAATTAATTCTATACATTCGAATTATGACGTGTTTTTTAATCATACAAATTTTTAAGATAATGATAAATAAGAAAATTCATGGATTCATACTCAAAAATATTTCATTTACTCGAAATATTTATTTTTGTTTTTTGTTTGGGATCAATTAAATCTGTTCTTGATATCGATCTCATAATTATATTTCATCACAAATGTTAGCTTAGCAATAGAATATACTAATAAAATTAAAAGTATTTTATTCTTCTCTTTGCTTTTAGAATAGTAATTACCATGTTCATCATGAATCTAATTGTGAATACTTACAATTATCTCACACTCATAGTCTACCCTTTTTCTCATATTCAGATTAATAAAACGAACAAAGTATTGCTAATGATGATTTTCGAATATTTGTCTTTGTTGAAGATCGGTGTGGGTGTGAGTCCAGATAATAGACGTGCATTCACATACCCACACCCGCAAGCAAATAAATAGCATAAAAAAAATGGAACAAAGTAATGTTCTTAATATCTGAAAAAGTGTACTTTTTTTCAGTCATTTAAATTCTCAATGAAACGTTATTAATTCATGTTTATATGGTTGTTAAAAAGAAAAGAAAACAGCGTACATATATGTAATCATTCGGCTAATAATGAAAGTTCTCCCGTCATTTTTACTGTATGTTTTAATAATCTCTAAGCAAAGAAAATAAAAAAAAACGCAAAAGAGGACGCCAATCGAAAGTATTTGCTCTTTAGAAATATACATGCTTAATCCTTGGGGATGTGGATATTTATTTCTTACTGGGTCCGATCTCATCCATACCCGCAGATCACACAGATATTGAACAAACTGATGCAAATGTCACTGGTATCTTATAATTAAATTTTAAATAATAATGCTGAATATATACTCAAAGCAAATAGTTTTTGAACACAATTAAGGATTATATTTTAAGACAAGCAAAGAAAAATACAACATCTATGTCAAAGAGTTAGATAAATAAGTTACAAGAGAAAAACTTTGAGAAAAAGAAACCGTAATACATCTTTCGTATCATTTACAAATATTTAAGAAAACATCCTGAGATGTTGAGTCTAAGTCTGCATTAATTATATCGACAAAACTATCACCGTTAAAATCACGAACACCATTCCATTCCCATCTTCAACTAATAAATATATTTGCTGATCAGTTTTGCTAAAGCCGATCATGAGGGTGTACGTTTGGATGAAAACATAACACCCACACTCACACCCATCCATCCACTCTCAAAAAAGCTCTCCTGCGCACATTTTGTTAGGTAACTGATACCGCAATAAATATTTTTCTTTTTCTGTTCTCTCAAAGGAAGTGAGAAGAGCAACGAGCGTTGTTATAGTTTTTCGTCCGTCGTTTTTAACTATGCTACTAAAGAGACACATAAAAAACATGATCTCTTGCGCATATTTTATTTGACGACTGATACTGCAATAAATATTTTTCTCTTTGTGTTCTCTCAAAGGAAGTGAGAAACGTGACGAGCGTTGCTATTAAATGAATGAATATACGAACGAGCAAAAAACAAATCGTAGTTTGTGTGAGGTAGATAAGAACGCACAAGAATATAAAGCAAAGATTTTGTTATTTCGACGTGTTTAGTCCAGTAGCAGTATAGAACAAAAATATGGCTCATTCTTTACCTCCGTCGACAGAACTTCCCGTTGTGAACAATGTAACCGATGAGAAATTCGTAGATATTTATACATCTCATAAGGAAAAAGGACAGTTACTGGACAATGGACGAACATTAGTGGGCTTTCAAGTTCAAGGTCGGGCCTTTGTGGCTGCTCTTGGCAGTCACTCATATTCGTCTGGTATTCATCATGTTCGAATCAGAGTAGATAAAGGCATTCCATTTTTGGGTATTCGCTCACGAAGTATACCACTTGTACCACGTGAGGGTAGTGCCGGTCGTCATTGTGATAGTCCTTCCGCGTACGGTTGGTTAATAAATTATGCTATTAATCGAAATGGACTACTTCGTACTGAATTACAGAGCAGCAGACCAGACGGTGATATTTATACACTTACATTGGATTGTGATCAACGCCGATTAAGTTTGGTTAATGAAAACACCAATGAACAACGTGAAATAGAAGTTGATATTCATCATACTCCTTTTCCCTGGTGTCTGTTTGTGGAGCACAATCGAATGCCAGGTCAATTGTCGTTAATATGAACGCTTGGCAGTGTTTTTTTAATATTTCCCGGTAAAATCATGAAAAAACGTAATGAATTGAAATAAAATTTAAAATAATACAATACCTAATCCTTTAACCCTTCTACTACCGGCTCATTTTGTTCAGAAATTATAAAGGACGGGGGACGTTCTAGGGACTTTTCAATGAAATTTTCAGGAAACGCTTGGCATAGTCTTAGTAGTCTTCCCTATAAATTTCAGCCTGGTCGGTTGAACTTTCCTTCACTTTTTCAGTGCCGTCCCCACCATCCAAAACGCACCTTAGAGTGATCTCTGTAGACCTGGAGCCATTTTTTACATGAACTAGCAATAACTATCGACTACAAAAATGCAATGGCAAAAGATTGCAAAAATGCTGCCTTTAGGACTCTTCTCTAATATTTACCATTGTTCAATGACCAAAAGGTATCTTGTGATGAGCATTACGCTTAATGAAACTGTCTATTCAATCATAAAAATATCATATTCGAAATCAGCACAAAAAACAGAGTAGAGTAGACTATGTTGCAGATATTATTCTCGACATCCATTTTCTCACAAAGAGAAGGCTCCTATCTCCTCCAGGATTCAGTGAAAAATGAAAGTC